TGCCAGCTTATCGGTATTTTCTAGGATATATCACGGAGAGTGTGCGATGGAATTACACTATTTAATTCCGCTTTCCTATTTCCATCACCGAAGGACTAGGCGTAGGTTTGGGTTTCACCCCTATGTTGTGGACATTCCAAAGATTCACACGAAGCGTTACGCTTGCACATTTATATGGCGAACGGCTATGGAGTGGAATTCCCTGGCTGCAGACTCGTTCCCTGAACGTTATGACTTGGGCTTTTTTGAAAGCGAAATCGAATGGGCATTATTAAGGTGTGCATGCTTCATCGTCACTTTCCATCAGGTAAGATGGAGGTCAATTTTATAAAAAAAAAGTTTAAGAAATCTCATTTTCTGGCGTAGTCTTTTTCACATACACAATACGCAAGCGTGCACGTGCATACGATCAGAGCGCCTGAACGAACTGAACGGCGCGCCGATTGCGTGGCGGCGGGCGGCGTGCCGGCGGCGCGGCGCTCATAATGTACTATGAGTGTGTGCGTTATCAATTATTATTATTATTAGGTTCAAGTTATCACCATAGATCGGAAAAAGGTGTTCCACATATATACATGTATAGATATGCTACAAGGAGCCACATAAGAGTTGTTAATCTAAATTGTAAAAAATGAAAGAAAATCTTCTCTTTATTCTATTTATGAAGATAAATAGCCGTGTATGAGTAAGGTTGTCAAAAATGGCACTTTTTCGTTGTGCTTAAGCGTTCAGCAGTTTTTTTTAATTAAAAGTATTAAAATAATCCAGTGTGAACATCTTTTTTCCTTCTTTCCGTTTTTTCTTTTAAAATACGACATTTCTGCTAGTGGTTCGAATTTATGAACATCAGCCCCCGTAGCATGGCTACACGTGATAGTTGCGAGGCGCGCGCTATTGGCTGTCTCAATCAGATCTAATTTAGATAGGCAATAGCGCGCGCTTATTTAAATTTTATCGCGTGTCGCGACTATCATGCGTAGCCATGCTACGGGGGCTGTTATACTGTGTTTATGAATTTAAATAAAATATTTTTAGAGCGCGATCACGATTCTCGTGCAAACTAAAATGTCCTAAGATTCCCGCCGTAAATGAAATTTTAAATAATTTTTTTTCTTAAGTTCTACTAGCAAACGTCGCCGTTCCGTCAATGTGACTGTCAATATACGGTATCTAAAGCTAGGGAGGGGCGGAGTGTGACCATTCTCGTTATTTTTTTATTCTCCGTTTTGGTAAAAGGTCAGTATCTACTGCATTATTTATAGTCTGTTCCAATCCAACTCCAAAAATTCCAATCCAAACCAAAAAAGTAAACAAACAGATCATTGTCCCGGTCGTAGACAGTTTAGTGATGGCCAACTGTACTGCCAAGAACAAATCGATTAATTGAATGAATTGATTTGTTTATTTGAAAAAGTTGGAATAACTGGGTTTTATATGTAATAAAATGGGGTTTGCGATTTCGCTGCTGATTACTATACAAAATATGTGATTCAATACTGAGTGATGATATTTCATACATGAGATTAGAAATTTTTTCATACATAACCTATAAAAGCATATTTCAAATTTCCGAATTCTAATTTTAAATCCTCCTTCAAATTTATTATTATTATTATTATTATTTATAATAACTTGTTACAATATTAATTCATAATCTTAAACTTAACAGTATTTTATAAACTAAAGTAGTTTTTCTAAATACCGACGATTAATCGCTAAGCGGTTTTAACAATAACAAAAAGAAAAATGATGAATGTATGTTGTGTTTGTGTGAGTGAATGGTATGATATCACGTGCGATCATGATATACTAATCCTATGCGTGCGACCTGCGTAATGATAGTGTCGTTGCAATGTGACTTGTGTAATGTCTTAGTGTGCGTTAGTTGTCAGGTAAGTTTGTGGAATCGAAAGATGTGTGATAAAGCGTGTTTTATTTTAAGTTTGGACTTTCTGTAGTGTCATTGATTTTTTTTTTCTTATTTAAGAAATGTTCCTTTAATTTGTACTTAATGTTTCTTTCATTAATTTCCTCCTTTAGTTGTTTAGGCAACTCATTAATTAGGGAAGGTACTTTGACATTCAGCTTATTTTTGCCATAGAGATTGGTATAAGACGGCACTACAAGTCTACCCTCGCGCTGTCGACGGGTTCTTATGACTCCGCTATAGATTACCTGCCAATCCTTAACAAAGTACTGTTCAGCAAGTATACAATATTTGACATTTTCATGAACTGGTAATACTTTGCAAAAGTTGAATAAACCATCGTTGTTATTTATAAATTGATATTTAACTTTATCAGGAACAATAGTTTTCAATAACCGTATCTGTAGCTCATAGATCCTGTCCAGATGCGTCTTTGAAGTTAAACCGTAACTGCTTAAACCGTATCCAATGATCGATTCCCCAAGTGCTTTATATAGATTGAGCAGGGTCAAGAAAGGCATCTTATATTTGATTATAGAGAATTTGGACAACAAGGCTTTAAGTCTGTCACACACCTTGTTTATATGATCCGTCCATTTCATTCGGTCGTCAATTATAAGTCCTAAATAGGTGTGACTACTAACTAGCTCAATATCTGGACAGTCGCAAATGCTTGAGCTATTTCCCCTGTGCAAGCAATCATGTTTATGCGCAATGAGTTTTAATTCTTGGTTTTTCCTATTTTGGCTCGAGCTTACATAAATCAGTTTGGTCTTATCAGCATTTAGTACTAAGCCTGCATCGTGGGACCATTTGACCAGATTAGTGAAATCTGTTTGCATTTTATGAAGGGCGTCTTTCAGATCATGATGAGCCACTACTAGGCAAGTATCGTCAGCAAATTGGAAAATTTGGCTATGTTGTATTACATGTGGTAAATTATTTACGTAGGACAGGTAGTGTAGGGGGCCCAGTACGGAGCCCTGGGCTGTTCCTTCACTTACTGTTTTCCTGTCACTCATCGCGTCAGCTACTTTTACATAAAAAGCACGATTACTTAAATAGTCTTCACACCAGCCTAACAAAGGTCCTCTCACACCGCAGTCCTCAAGTCTCTCTAGCAACACATCATGACGAAGTGTATCAAATGCCTTACTGTAGTCTATGAACACTACGAGCACTTGCATTTTATCATTAAGGTAATCATATAAGAGATTGGTAAAAGCAGTTAGGAGCTGAGTTGTGTTTTTGCGTGGTTGAAACCCGTACTGATTTTTGTTAAGTACATTATTATCCGTATAAAATTTATGAATTTGGTGACATACATATTTTTCCACAATTTTATCGATGGTGGGGAGAATAGTGATAGGTCTGTAGTTATCATAGTCTGTTTTCCTACCCTTTTTAAAAATAGGTCTAACAATACCAGTTTTAAGCCCTAATGGATAAGTTCTCTTCTCTATACTAGTATTAATTAGTTTAGCAATTGTTGATGCAATATTGTGGCTAATTTTTTTAATATCAATTGCTCGTATCAAATCTAGACCAGGCGCTTTATTAGTATTTATACTCTTAATAATTTTGAGAATGCTTGATGAATTAGCTTTGTGGAAATGCATAGATCTGTCAACCGGCTTTCTGTGTTCGTTTTTGTCTACAAGGGTAATTTTACAATTTTGTGTAATATTTTTAACATTGTTAATGAAATTATTAGCAAAGTTATTAGCTATATCAACAGATTTAACTACATTATTTTCGAAAGCATTGAGTAATACCGCGTCTACAGATAAACGTATTCTACCTGTAAGCCTATTGAGCAGATTCCACAGGTTTTTAGGATTATGTTTGTTTTTGTTAATTTCATTTATTGTATACCTATTTTTAGCTTTGAATATTAATTTATTGGCGTAATTACGGGCGTGGTTGTATTTTTGTTTTAAAATTGTGTTACTGGAGTCATTAATCCACTTATTGAAAAGGCCATCCCTATATTTGCATGCCTTAAGAATTTTACTATTAATCCAATTACTATTGATTTGTTTATTAATATTGTTTTTAATTTTTAATTTAATTTCTGATTTCTTGTAGCAATTATTAAATTGTTCGCATAAGAAAGTATATATACTAGTAGGACAGTTCATATTCTCAACCGTTTCCCAATGTATTTCGCTTAATTGTTTGTCTAATGTGTTCCTATCGTATTTTATTCTATAATTAACATCATCCCGTAGATTTTCCAGTTGCGGTCCGAAGCAAGCTAGCACGACCGCGCGGTGATCGGCCAGTACCGTTCCTAATGCGGCAGTGAAGACGTTTTGCGTGCGGGTTCTCACATAAATATGGTCTATACAAGATCTACTTATTTTATTGTTAGCAACTTCAACACGAGTATATTCAGATATACCGCACGCAAAACCGCCACTATGAAGCATACATGTATATTTGTGCTTGATGGGCGAATTAGTGGTTAGGTCTATATTGATATCGCCGAATATGTAGAAATCGCTACCGTCATTGTATTTCTCAATTTTAGTGCCAAGTTCGTCAATAAATAAATGTTTACTTAGGTCAGGAGGTCGATAGATTGCACACAGAGATGCGGAATATCGTGTTGTTGTGGTTATGTTAAAGAAAATCGATTCAAAGTGATAAGTTTTTTGGTTATGTATTTTTAATTTGTGTTTATTGTGTACATAAATAATTATACCTCCACCTTTCCGATTATTTCGCAACTCCGCGTGCATTTGATACCCAGCTATGTTATATAAGTCCTTTAGAGATTCCGATATGTTTACTTCAGTGAGAATAACTACATCAACGCATAACTTAGAAGATAGTACGCATTGTTCTAGGGGAGTAAAGTTTTTTATAGTGGATCTAATATTAGTGTGGATACATAATAGGTTAGGTTTGTTATAGTTTTTAGGGATTTGTGTAATAAAGGAGTTTATATTAGTACAGTTAGTAAATTCAGTAATATCATCAAAAGAGAAGTTCATTTTACCTTATATTTGTGTCTTTTGTAATGTGTAGGTTGTGTATAGTGTGCTTATACAACAAAAAACTAAAGCAATCACTGTAGAAGCAAATTTTTAATATCATCTTCGGATCTGATGATCTTCAATTGTGTGTTGTCTTCTTTCCTCACTCTAATTACTCCTTTCTTACACCATATATACTTGTAAATGTCTTTTAATTGTTGTTTAGTGTTCCACAGTAGCTTTTTGTTATATGCTGTAAGTGCTTCACGAATTATGATACTTTGCTGTGCGGTTTCTGGTGAGGTGTTTCTAAAAAGACTTGAGACAATGATTTTCGTGGATTTCGCTTTTTGCAGCCATTTTTCTTGCGCGACCTCATCGCTAAGTTTTACTTGTATTGGTCCATTCTGCGGTTGTCTACTAGGGAGACGTCGTACTTCTAGTATGTCCTCGCGATTAAGTTCGAGTCTTTCTGCGATTTTCTCCACTAGTACTAAAGGTTTTTCCCGCCCTTCATGAGGTACGTTCGAAATTGTTAGGGTAGTACTGAGTTGCTGCTGTTCTATCTCCTGCAGACGCTGTTCAAGTGCACCTACTCTAGTTTTAAGATGATTGTTTTTATTTGTTAGGTCATTATTCTTTTTCGTAAGTTCTTGTACCGATATTTTAAAAGCATCCATAGTTTCAAGAATTTCGTCCATCTTTTCAGTATGAAATTCGAATGATTTAGTCAGATCTTGAAGCTCACGCTTGATAGCTTTCTCCATTTCCAGGGATATATCGCGTAGAAGCTTCTTGATGTCAATGGTAGCCTTCGGTGACAACGCTTCAGCGGTCTCCTCCTCCTCCTCATCCTCAGGGACGACCACAGAGCGACGATGAGGTGATTCGCGGTGGCATTCGTCACACGTCCAGCCTAAATTGTTGTTAATGCGAAGCGCTGCCCGTTGCTTCGTAGACAATCCCGAGCATGCAACACTTAGATGCACTAGTTTTTCACATTTGCTGCATTCTACGCCCGCATTAGATTTCGTGATATTTTTATTACATTTGTCGCACTTCGGCATTATGAGGGTAGATTACGGAGACTTGGTATGCACAAACACAGCACGCTATGCGTACGATCGCTCAGCGATGAATCGACTTACACTATAAGTGTAAGGATTATTATTATTCTCCTATATGATTATTATTCGTTCGATTGTGATAAAATTTTCGATTCACTAATCGATTACAAAAACTTTAATTGAATGAACCGAATGAGTTATTTTCGTACAGCCCTATGCAACCAAAGACTATTCACAAATCTATATTTGATTACTAACCTCACTTTTGAACTAACATTTTTCAAATAAGATTTCAATATGTTATTCAAATGAATATTGCTGGAAAAAGTGATGAGATATCAATTCGAAATCTTCAAAATATATGTGATAGTGTTAATTATATATTTATTTATTGCTTTAGAATTTTAACCAAACCGGTTTGTTTACTTTTCTGGCATAATAGATTGGAACAGACTTTACATGGCACCATTACAATTATTTTAAAATCCAACTTCGATTTCCTGGGTCAGTAGTTTGTTTTACGATGCAGTAAAACCATTTTCGGAAATCCGGAATTCGAAAATATAATTAGATAATATTTGGTGGTTTTAACAAATCTGTCGCTCCTTGTAGCTATGTCTATACATGTATCTATATATGTGGAATACCTTTTCCGACCTATGCTTACCAGGTTATCACACTCAACCTGAAGCTACTAATTATAGTACAAGTCTAAGTATCCCATCAGGGTTCGTTTGACAGTTGCAACATTGATCGACAGTTGAATATAACCATTGTATTGGTAACATTATCTTTATTTATTTGGTATCCCAATAGAACATATACAATATTCAATACAATATGAAATTTAATATCTTAATGTATATATCCGAGTAACAGGGAAACAGCACTCTTAATGATGACATCAGTAGGGCTAGCACGATAAGGCGCGACTTGGGCGAGAGCGACGTAAAGCGCGAAATCTCTGCGAGAATAACAGTCAAAAATTTGGCATTATTCAAAAGTTATTTTACGATTTTCGCCAAGTCAATAAAATTAATAAAATGATTAAAATTCCATTTAAAAACTGCAATAACATTCATGCCAATAATTTGTCAACAATACTTTAAAGATTGGAAACTCGAACATTTAAAAAACGCTCAATAGTTAACTAATAGTATTTATTTATTGACATTTGGCTATATAGCCTAAAAAGACAACAAATAATTATGAAACTGGAAATATAATAAAACATAAACGAAATTTCTAAAAATGTAATAAATCTAAAACAAGTTAGTCACGGAGTAACTTTATTTGAATTGCTTATTTTGACAGATGAGACTGCCATGTGTATGGCAAATAATACGTCATTATTAGAGGAGACCCGTGCACTGCAGTGGGACGTATAATGAATTTAATTTCATTATGATTACTAATATTATAAAGACCAAACACATACAAAAATTTTCTTTCTTGGTTGATCACAGAGATCTGAAGAGTACTGCCACTGCGCCCATCACCCTGAGACAGAAAGTTCACAATACCCATGTGCCTGTAATTTCACTAGCACCTTTTACCACTCAAGACGCAGGAACGCTGTAATGCTTACATTGTTTCGATTATATAATAAAAAGTGCAAATAAACGACTGGTGCTAGTAACACTTTGTGCGGTTAATATACAATTATATACCTACTCATCCGCACTGCAGTCTTAAGTTATACAATAACAGAAATATACACTCGCATTTGATTCTATTAGACAACGTAATCTCAACCTAATTCCTTGTTCAAACATCATCATCCAACCGTATCTTACACAAAGGTGTTCAATTGTAAGTAATCCTTCTACATCATATTAGGTTTCAACTTTATAGAAATCAATTCAAACTTAGTGAAACGAATTTAAACATAATACAAAACTAATTTAGGGCAAATTCCTTCTTTACCAAGTTTTTTTATCATAACTAAATTACGTGCTTTGAATAAGGAACAGCGGGTCAGGTAGGAATAAAGGGTGTAACCGCCAGATGGTGATTTAAAAAAAAATACGGAAACAAAACCACGAAAATATTGTGCTGTATTTTAAATAGGGCGCACTATAAGTTTCCGGAACTGGCCACTTAATATAAACAATATATAAAAAGTAATTAGAACATTTAAAAATGGAACTCTTTGGATGTAGAATACAGTATGTTTCCTCCGACTGTAATTTGTTTCTACATTGTGGCATCATTTTAGAAATTGATTGACTACATCACCATGGATTTAATTCATGAAAATTTTCGTAGAATTAATTTCTACGACTTTAAGTGTAATTTAACAGCTCAGCGGAGCTTCGGTCGGCTTGAAACTGCTTTTGGCGATGAAGCACCATGCAAGACGACTGACGAATTTCGTGATTGTCGCCCGTTCACTACTGTGAACAACAAAAACATCGATGCTACGCGCCGTATGATCAAAACACACAGCCAGGTGACATACCATGAGATTCGGGCATCTTTAGGCATATGCATGAGTCAAATACAATGAATACTACACAAACATTTGGGTGTGAAAAAGGTGTGCTTTCGGTGGTTCCCACATAATTTGACTGAGTGAAGGGAAACGGATCGCATCACTTGGTGCAATGCCATGCTTACCAGATTCAACGAAGGGGCATCAAATTTGGTCTGGGACATAGTAACAGGTGAAGAAACATGGATTTACAATTACGATCCCAAAACAAAGCAGCAATCGAGCGTATGGGTCTTTCGAGATGAGCCGCAAAAAAAAGCAACCAAAGTGGCGCGCGTGCAAAGTGCCTCTAAGCGGATGATTGTTTCTTTTTTTAATAAAACTGGACACGTGGCTATTGTTGCTTTGGAGAATCGTTGTACCGTGAATAGTGATTGGTACACGACCATTTGGTTGCCGGAAGTTATTGACAAACTCGTAAAAGGAACCGTAAACGCCGTATCACCTAGCACCACGATAATGCCAGTTCTCACCCATCCAGACAGACAAATGAATTTTTGAAAGTGAACAACGTTGACCTTATGAGCCATCCCGCGTACAGTCTCGAGCTGGCATCTTATTTCCAAAAATTAAGAACCAGTTAACGGGTTAACCATTTTCATCACCTGAAGAGACTGTCGAAGAGTGAGAAATATGTTTCAGAGATTGTCACGAGGAGTGGCATAAATGTTTTCGACATTGGTTCATTCGTATGAAAATGTGCATTAACGCTAACAGAGAATATTTTGAGAAACAATAAATTCATTTCTGACCATTTATAGTATTTATAGTCCAACGGAGTTATAGTATTTGTACATACAAGAAAGCGAGAGATGTGTGTGAGGAATGTGTGCGAGCTCGCCGTCGCCTCCGTTCGCCCCACCACACCGCACCCCATCCGCGTACAGCTGAAAAAAGCTCCGTTCCACAGTCTCGCTACGGATCCTCGCATCGTCTAGTTACTCCGCACAGCTTTAGTGGAAACTAGCACACCGTTTCACAGCGTCGCTACACATTCTTGCACCACCTAGCTACCTCGCACATTTTTGGTGGAATCGCAGCCTTATACTCCTACCTACGACGGTATGTGATACAATTACTGAGCGAACAAAAACAATACTTACTGGTAACGCCAGGTATAGTTTGTCTGAGCTCGCACCTCCTTACCTTTCCCGTCCTAATTCGTGTTACGCCATAGCCATAAATCGCCAGTGAAATTAAAAAATAAGTGTGTGACGTTACATTCGAAAAAAAAAATCCGCATCCGCGATGTCGCATCATTTATTAAAATTAAATATCCCGCTTCTCCGCCCGGCATTGAGCCGCGTACGCAATATATTACATGGTGGCATTATTGGTGATCAGCCGCACGTGAAGTGTGTGAATGAAGACGAGCTCTACGACGTCGGACATAAAGGTTGGTGGTAGCACGGCTTCCATTCCTTTTACTTCCGAGCTCGTCTATCCCGCAGCTCCCCACAAGCTATCGAAGTTTCTTTCAATTTTTTTTATTATAGCGTCATCACTTACTTAAAAATCTCAACAGATTTTAAAGGCATTGAAAAGTAAACGTATAATATAATTTACTAGTGAATTTACATTTGTTAATAGGTACTTGACCAACGCAAGGACCTGTGGAAAGTAAATTCAGTCTTATCGAGAGTCCATTGTTAGTCGTATGGATTTAACGCTTAAGGCAGTCTCCAATAAGGGTGGGTGAAATGATTCTTATCAAATTTCATGCTGCCATAACGCAGGCGTATCTATTCTCTACAAAACTGAGCCCTTTAACCTACCTCCGACTGTTCATGATATATCCATACCGATAGGCGACCGTCTCCATCTACTTTGAATGAACTGCCCCGTCCAATTTGAACTTCATCATTTACATAGCATTTACATAGTTTCCAAGACAATAAATAATACCTAATAATAAATTTATTGTTCTCCACAAGTTTTGGGTGAAAAGGTGAGGCGTTATTTTACACTGGCACAGTTGATTTAGCTGTCCCAAGCACAAGTCCGGTAGTGTATGAAATCCTGCTGTCACTTATGGGATGGTTCTGCTAAATACTAACCAAAGGTTTATAAGTGACTCGAATTTAGTAGAGGCGAACCTATATTGGTATTATACAGGATATATCACGGAGAATGTGCGATGAAATTGCATGATTTAATTCCGCCTTCCAATGTACCACTATCTACATGCACTTGCATTTTGTGAAAGTTATTTGTTAAATAACGTCAGCAGTTCTGAGGTGGATTTTTTAGATAAAATCATTCAATTATCAACTGCAGTGAGGCAAAAGTGGGATTTCAGAACTTTTAATGGGTTGTTTTATTAGTAGATACTTAGGTAGTAGTCCATCAGAGCGAGGAAACTAATAGCTAACAATTTGGGTGACTGTCTATAAGCGCAAACGCAAAATATTTGTGTAATAAACGAGTTAATATTAGTAAATGACGTAATAAATTTACTTACTGAACATCCAACGTCCATGGGATAATGTAATTTGATTTTCAATCT